TTTCTGCTTTCACATGACACTTTCTGCTTTCACATGACACTTTCTGCACTTTCTGCGGTCACATGGCTGCGTGGTGAAAGCTGCTTGATGACAGTGGCAGTCGCAGCGCATCGTGGTGAGCAGCTGTCATGGAGATAGCTGTGCGACAACTTTTAGCTTTAATGTTTAGCTTGAAACCAACGTGGTTGTTGGTCACTTTAGGTCGTGTCCTTACAGAGGAGCTCTCCAGTAATTAACAAGTCACTCTTTGAACATGTGTTTCCCACACAGACTTTGTTCTGAGGTGTAGCCCTCGGAGCTGTGGTTCCTTGAGTTGGGTCAGAAACAAGAGTCTGGGTCTTCAGGCGATCTGGAAGAGTTTCATATGAGTCGTTATTATTGTTGCCATGAATATTATGATCTATAAAACGTGCTGTAAGTCAGTGCCTTGTTGTGATGCTGGAGTAGTTGGCCTGATGAGTCGTGCAGGATGATGTTCTGTGAAGATGATCAGAAGCTGGAAGGTTTGAAGGCCTCACTGCCATGATGCTGAAGAAGACAAATTATAATTTGACACGCACAATAAGTTCTGTGTACCGTTATTATTATTTGGGAGCAATAAGCAATAATTTAATGCAGTAATTAAAAGAAAACAAAAATCAAATGACCTGTTCCAGCTGGTCATTGGAGGACTTTACCACCCACTAAACCACTATATTTTACATTTAAGTAGAAGAAATAAGACAAATTAAAAAACCACACACGTCACACATCAGATGATCACACATGTTGTATCTTTAACATGGGGCAGAAAGGGATTGCAGGTTATTTCTGTTGATCTGGTTATATTTACTGAAGTCTGCCTTTTTTTCTAGTTAAAGAAAAGCAACAATCATCCGACGTGTACATGTAGGAAGGGCTCCACATTTCCAGTTTAGCAGTATTTAACTCTGGTCAGCAGCGTTGAATCAAGTTCTCTTCAGCAGGAGAGCAAGCAGCTCACTGTCAGAGTGATGAAGAGCAGAGAATAATGTTTGTTTGTTTGTTCTAACAGCTTCACCAGCTCTTGTTTTTTCTTTGATTTTATTTGTAAACCGTCTACAGACAGTCTGTACTTCTGGTTTTGTCATCTAATAATTTTTTCTCACGAGCAGATCCAAGCGGTGCTGTAGGACGCAGCATCCAGCTGTGTCTGTCTGGGATGCGTTCATGACTGGGGCTAAAATAGGATTTTTTAGTGTTCCTCAGTAAGCCATTGATTATGTCCAGTCAGGCTGAATATTGACTGGTCTGAACTATGAATCATGAGTCGAGTCCCTCTGGCACCAGGCCAGACGGCCCCCTCTTCTTTAAGGACACAAACAACAACTGTTTTGGTCATCAAGTACAAAGTTTGTAGAATTTCATTTTAATATTTCGCATGGAGAACATGGTGTCTGGGGTTTCCAACAGATTTTGATTTGCCCGACCACAGTTTTTTACTTTGTCTCAATCTATGAACTGATGAGACAAAGAAGAGAAGCTGCATCCTGGATGGTTTCTTTGTGCGAGCGCTTTAATCTGAACCCATGAACCTCCGCCAGCTCGACTTCTGACAGACTCGGCCTTTCTAAATGCTCTTTTACACCCAGTCCTCTTACTGGCTCTTTTACACCCAGTCCT